ATAGGGGGCAGGGTTTCCCAGAAAAATCCCCTAAGGGTGCGTCAGATCCGCTACAAAGTGATTTGGCTGCAAGTTTGGCTGCAAATTTGTCGCCCTTTTGGTCGACTCACATTTTCGCCAAAGTCGACTGAATGGTCGAATGCTAAACCGACCACCATCCAGCCACATTTACAAGGTGTTGAAATCTGACAGATTTGGTGGCCGATTTACAGGCCGGATTGCACAAGAGTCAGATTTGCAGGTCGTAAAGTTGGCCGGATTGTGCGACGGTATCGCACATATTGTTACTGAAGTGACACAACCGCTATTGTGCGCACCACGAACAGAGAGTCAAGATGTGAGGTGCGGCTCCATTTACAACCCGGCTCTGAGAGATCGTGTCGTCTACCCGAACTGAGTGTTACGAGAGTATACAAAACCGAGAACGTCCCTACACTCTATCCATTATCCAACATGGCGGATCCTTTCACACCCAGATGGGCACGACGTTTAGCAATCGGCCTCACGCACGTTGTGCTCATCCCCTTGGTCGCTGCAGTCGGTGTCATGGTGCCCTTGCTCCTTGACTTTGCTGACGAGAGCGATTACCAAGTGTTCTGGCGAAATGACCAAAGTATTCAACGAGCTCGTTGGATGAAGCGCTTCTTGCACATGTCACCAGACCACCTATACGAAACACTGCGAGTTGATCGTGACGTATTCGGTTACCTCTGCCGCGTGTGGTCTGACCACCTCATCAGCACTGGCAAACATGCATGCAAGGTGGCTCTCCAAGTAGCTCTTGTGCTCCTTCGCTTCGGAAGCGGGATGACATTTCGTCAGCTGGGATTGCTTTTTGGCTTCTCACACGCGCATGCCCACACGATTGTGAAGGCCTGGGTCCGATTCAATGAAGACGTCCTCATGGCCGAATGGATTTTATGGCCTGATACAGACGAACTTGCTGCCTCGGAAGCAGACTTCAAATGGGACAGTGGGATCCCAGGGATAGTGGGTGCTATGGACGGCACATACATACACACCCGCGGTTCCGGACCACATGCGGAGGATTTTAAGAACCGTAAAGGCTTCTTCAGCATTATCCTACAACTACTCGTCGACGCCAACGGCCTTGTTTGGAGCATGTTAGCAGGCTGGCCGGGTTCGTGCAATGATTCGAAGGTTTTCAATAATTCGAAAGCTAAACAAATGATTGAATGCGGAGGGATTGGCAACTACTGCATCGTCAGCGATGCGGCATACGGCCTTAAAAACTACATCTACGTGCCTTTCCGAGCCACCCCAGGCCAGCTACTGCCGGACGCGCAAGCCGTGTGGAACAAGCAGCAGTCGCGGGCGCGCATGATAGTTGAGCAAGTCAACGGGCGCTTAAAGACAAAATGGCGTATCCTAGACGCCAGAACGGAATGCCACCGTCGCCATGTGCCCGCCACGGTGGCGGCTGTGGTAACCCTGCATAACATAGAAATGGTGCTTGGCACAAGATACCGAATGGAGATGCCGTACCCGAGAAATAGATGGTGGCTTCAAGGACCGGCCGCCAGCCTTGCACATCACGGCATCGAAGTCGCCGGATTCACTGCGACTTTGAGGCGGAATCGCTTTTCTGCTTTCCTTTATGCCTCTTGGCGTCTCGGGCATCCCGGGCTCTCTCGTCCTCTTCTCGGGTGCGTTCAAAAAATTGGGTCATTGTCGTTTGGATAGCGCTCGTTAACTCCTTCGTCATGAACCCACACATATCGTACATCATCTTCTCTTTGCCCTTACGTCGTCCCGGTCGCCCACTGTACTCAACATCGTGTTCACCCCCCCACATCCCAACCGCAGACGTCATACGCGCCCTCGCCGTGGTGCGTCCACTGCGGAGAGATCCACCTGGCTGAGCACCGAGGGATAGAGCGCCTGCGCGCGCGCGTGGCAAGGCTTGCTGACCAGGCGGAGTCGGCGTTGACGCCGCGGGGCGGGCTGGTTCAGGGCCCGTCGACCGTGAAGGCGAAGTGACGAGGGGATTGGCGACCGGCGGGGCGACCGCTGGTTCAGTAGCCTGCACTGTTGCAGGCACAGGTGAAATAAGGGAAAGTGACGGAGTTGAGAGGGAATTAATGTAATGGAGTTGAGATGAAAGTCATGTTGTACTGGAGTTGAACAGGGTAACTTGTAATATCAAAGCACAACCATTTAAAACTCAGAATGCTCACCAGAGCGTACAGTAGACCCGGATGCGACTGGTGCAACTACGGTCGGGGTTCCGCCATGTTGCACGGCATAACCTGGACCGGTCGACGGTGGCACCACGCTATCGGCGATAGAGTCGGGCGCATCGTTGCACCCGGATGTTGTGTGCCCGCCATTCGCCGCAGATTGCACGGTGTTGGCCGTCGTTGCAGTTGGGGTGCTTTCCACAGTTGTCTCTGGATTCACAGATTCGCGCGGTCGGAATATCGCGTCGGCTAGATCATACCACGCCGGACATCCATCCGCACGACCCTTGCCAGAGCGCTCCAAGAACTTGCTCCATCGAAGCCATGTGGCTTCCATGCGGCGGAGCTTCGGTCGGAGAGCGGAAACCGAGTGGCGCCACCTCGGATTACGGGCGAGCAGGTTGCGATGCAGCTTGGCGTGCTGGCTCTGGCCTTGCATTCCGCGCATGTTATTCCAGTCATCGTGCATGTCGTGACGCTCCTGCATCAGAAGGAAATCCTCTTCCTTGGTCCATCGAGGCAAAGTGGTCCGGGTAGCGGTAGATATAGTCGCGGTCGCTGACTCCGTGTTAGTCCGTCCTATGTTTAGGTCAAGCTCCTCGTCGTCATTGGCGGAGCATATTTTGGGGGTCTCCTCGCCTACCCCGTAGTCATCGTTGATACCGTAAGGCGAGTCTGGGCGGGGTAGGTTGTTAATCCACCAGTCTGGATTACGATCCCACGGGTTAATGTGTTCACGGGAAGATTCCCTGACAGTTCTGATGGGTGGAGCTTGAGCAGCGTTGGTAGACTGTTGTGTATTTGGACGGGTGCCTGGGGTGCCGCCATTGTCGCTAGACTGTGTGTTCATGTCGTTGCTATCCCTGTAAGCCATAATCTAGTTTTCCTTGGGTGAGTTTGGCAATGATCGTCATGTGTGACCCCGTGACGGAGTAGAACAATGTTCCGCAGTCAAGACGAGGTGGCGAGGCGCAGATTGGTCTTGCGTAAAATTGCACGTTTCGCTCTATATAAGTGTGACCCCGGAAAGCGGTCATGTTCAACGGGGCTGAACGCGCCGTGCGAGTCGTCATTGTGACACGTCGAGTCAGTTGGGTATGTTGGCCAAGTCGCACAGGTACTGTATCGCTGACGAGTCGACAATGTGGTCGACTCGTGATTCGTTTGCACGTCGGAAAGTTGTCGACCGCTAAACCAGCCATCAAAGCGGCCATCAATTTTTTAGCAAGTGGCCGGATTGTGCGAAATTGACGAAATACCTTACAAATGTCGTGAATGTGTAACCTTCGCTAGATCTGGCCGGCCGGATTGATCCGGCCAACGGATCTGACGCACCCTTAGAACCAATTTGACAAACCCCAACCACTTCCTCTCGTTCGAGCACCACACCTGAGCCAAGCCTGGTACCCAAGCACCACCAACGAGCCTGTGCTGGTACCCGAGCCTAAAACTTGATGCGCGAGTCGAACAGGGCCTGGTTCTATTGGTCTGTCAAGTTTGTCAAACACGGTAGGTGTTCGACTTTTACAGAACTCCTTCAACCCTAATTCAAGGCGTAAACCCCCCGTCAACCATGGTCATGATACTTCTCTAGTTCGAGATGCGTGAGAGTGCGCAGAATCACTTGCTGAGCTGGCACGATCAGGCCGCGCCACGGACATGACTCTCGCGCTCTCCGCTGTAACCGCCGCAACTCGTGTTCAGCCCCACCTCTGCGTGCATTCTGCGCTCCGCCAGCGAATGTGGCGAACGCATAAAGTAATCACCCGATCGTCTAACGTTATATCAAACGGATTAGTTAACAGGTCGACAAACGGATTAGTCGACAGGTCGACATTGAACGGGTTATCGACCGGATTGTTGCCGCTTGACTTTCGCGCCCCGGCTCGGTCGGGCCGACTCGTCGCCGGATCGCGTTCTCTCGTGACGCTAGTCGTTCCGCGAAGAGCGTTACTTTTTCCGTCGCTGCGGCATAGCCACCCGCCTAGGGCTTCTTCAACTCCTGCACGAGCTGGTCGGGTAATTTCGGAGTTAACCCCAGATTTTGGAGGGAGTTATGAGCAACCACCTTTAGGATCCCCCCTACCCCTAGGAGCTTCCGTAGAACCATCTCTAGAAACCGCAGTAGCGAAGGAGACTACAGTTAGGAAGCGGCGCGCGCGTACGTCGAAATCGGTCGGCGGAGCTGACGGAGCTGCGGATGACGCGACAGTTCCACGTGGGAGTAATCTAGTGATCCCACGTGGCAGCGAGCCGGTGAATGCGTCGGAATCTTCCGTAGGCCAGGAGAGTGCCACGCGCGTCAGTGGCAGGCGAGGCCGCCGAGTGACAAGTAACGAAACTGTTATTAGCGAGGATTCGAGTGAGGGAAAGGCTGCAGCCGGCGGAAGTGGAAAGAGGACGCGCGGCCGTCCGCGGAAGCAGGCGGAAGGGATAACGGATGAAGCGGAGAAGCTGCCGTTGAATTTCAAGGTTGGGGCGGAAGGAATTGTGGGCGGAGTGGAATCGTCCGCCGGAGCAAATCTAGTATTAGTAGCAGGCTCAGGCCCAGAATCAGGATCTGACACCGAAGCCGCACCGAAGAAGGTAGGAAAGGGTAGGTGGAGTGGGGACGAGCTCTTGCTGTCTCGCGGGTTGAGCACACAGGCTGTAGCAGCGCCGTCCCCGGCTGTAACAGGTCCATCCCCGGCTGTAGCAGGGAAAGAGTCTCAGGGTTTCAGATCTGCGTATTTTAATCGGGTTAGCTATAGTACGGACGGAAAGCAACGGGAGCGCGCGGAAGGAGGTTCGGCGGGCGGGATGAGAGGCGCCGCGGCGGGCGGGGGCGCGAGGGGGAGACAAGGCGCTGGCCTGGCAGCCGCAGGGGGAAGAGCGGAAAGAGCAGCGGATGCAGGTTTCCAGGCCAGGGGGAAGGGCGGTAAGGGGAAGGGAAGGGGCGGAGGCGGAGGCGGGGGAGAGAAGGGCGGGGGAAAAGGCGGAAGAGGAGGCGGAGGGGAAGGCGGAGCGGTAGGGGGGGCTGGGGGAGAGAAGCTGGCGCAGAACAGGACAGCGTATCTGCAGGTGCTGGGGACGGGTATGGACACGGGGGATACTTCCCCCTGCGTGCTGCTGTTCTTCGAGCGGCTGCGCCTGGTGTTCAACGCGGGCGAGGGGCTGCAGCGCCTCTGCATCGAACACCGCATCAGGCTGTCAAAGGTGGGCAAGGGTTTTCGGGTTTTGGAGGGTGGGACGGGTGTAAGGATTGGCGCCTGCGCCTGGTGTTCAACGCGGGCGAGGAGCTGCAGCGCCTCTGCATAGAGCACCGTGGGCAGGGGTTTGCACTGAGAATCGTTCGCCTCCCACGTGTGCACCGAGACGGTTGGAGGGCTTCCAGGCATGTTGCTCATGACTCTCCCCTCTCCCCTCCACCCTTCCCCTACTCCCACTTATTGAATCCCATCAGGTGGACAAGATCTTTCTCTCCCGAGTGTGCACGGAAACAGCTGGCGGGCTGCCTGCCAGGCATGCTGCTGACGAATCTTCCGTCTCCTTTTTCCGCCCGCTTCCCTGCCTCCCCTCCTTCCCCCCCCATCAGGTGGACAAGATCTTTCTCTCCCTCCCGAGTGTGCACGGAAACAGCTGGCGGGCTGCCTGCCAGGCATGCTGCTGACGAATCTTCCGTCTCCTTTTTCCGCCCGCTTCCCTGCCTCCCCTCCTTCCCCCCCCATCAGGTGGACAAGATCTTTCTCTCCCTCCCAAGTGTGCACGGAAACAGCTGGCGGGCTGCCTGCCAGGCATGCTGCTAAAAAATCTCTTTCCTCCCTTTCCCCCCGTCTCCCTGCCTCACCCCTCTCCCTCCCATTTGCATCAGGTGGACAAGATATTCCTCTCCCGCGTGTGCACCGAGACGGCAGGGGGGCTGCCAGGCATGCTGCTGACACTCGCCAACACGGGGGAGACAGGTGTCACGGTGAGTTCTGGGACAAGGGTGTAAGGAAGGGTGCAGGATAGACGTGTGTGTTTCCCTCTTTCGTTTTCTCTTGTTTCCTCTCGTGTGTGACGGAAGCCACGTGTTTGAAGAAGTGTTTTGAGACGCCTCAAAACACTCTGTGACGGAAGCCAAGTGTTTTGAGACGCCTCAAAACACTCTGTGACGGATGCCCGACAGGCAAGTTGGGCATCACAGTGAGTGAGGGTGGTGGGCGAACACTGTGTGTGCTTGCTGCTGCCATGGCCCTTTTAGTGCTTCAGCTTCCTGAGGCAAATCATGTATGCGTTATTCCGCATGTGGACGGGTGTGCCATGCATCCCTGATTTGCAGTTGTTATATTGTCGCGTTACAAAAAAAAAAAAAAAAAAAAAAAAAAACCTCTCACGCGCTACGTTTTCCCCGCCAGGTGGACATCTGTGGGCCGTCGGATCTCCATCGGCTGGCAGCAGCCATGCGCTGCTTCGTGGGCGCAGCTTCGGTCCGAACCTCCAGCTTCGGCAGCAGCAGCCCTGGGCGTCAGTCGTACCCGCACGCCCCACTCCCTCCTGCGTACATCAAAGCACAGCAGCAGCAGCAGGGAAGGGAAGGAGAGGTGATGAGAGAAGAGCAACTGGAAAGGGAGAGCGGGAAAGAGGGAGAGAGTGGGAAGGAGCAGGAGGACAAGAGCGCGTACATAGTGCATGACGATGGGGACGTGAAGATCACTGCTGTGCTGCTTGAACCAGCATTTCCAGAAATAGCAGCATCATCATCATCAGCAGCAGCAGCAGCAGTAGCAGCAGCAGCAGCAGCTGCTTCCCACAACACCACTGCCACGATTAGCAGCACGGTGCTCCCGTCGCCATCCGCGTCCTTTAAGGAATTGACTCTCTCGCAACTGAAAGATGGCGGACTGGCAGGAGAGGGATTCACAGGTGTCAGTTCCGAAGCGGCCCTCCCCTCTGCCACGTCAGCGAAGCGCCCCAGCCCTTCCGGCCCTGCTGACGTCAGCAGCGGGTGGGGCACAGTCAGCGCCGGAAGCGAGAAGAGGGCGAGGGTGGAGGGAGAGAGGAAGGAGGAAGAGGCGGGGGGTTCAGCTGCAGGAGCAACAACAGGATTTGCAGCAGGAGCAGCAGCAGGGGTGGTGCCAACAGCAGCAGGTGTTGCGGCATCAGTGGCAGCGCCAGCAGCAGCAGGGATGGCAGCACCAGCAGCAGTGGGCATGGCGGCGGTGGTGTATGTGTGCGAGTTGCCGACAGCAGCAGGGAAGTTTGACCCCAAGCGAGCAGCAGCCATGGGCATCCGCCCCGGCCCCAAGTACCGGCGATTGCAGATGGGGGAGAGCGTTGCTAGCGATGATGGGAGCACCATGGTGAGAGTCAGGAGTGCTGTTGTGCTGTTGTGCTGTTGTGCTGTTGTGCTGTTGTGCTGTAGTGCTGTTGTGCTGTTGTGCTGTTGTGCTGTAGTGCTGTAGTGCTGTTGTGCTGTAGTGCTGTAGTGCTGTTGTGCTGTTGTGCTGTTGTGCTGTTGTCCTCCCTGTAGACCTGCTGAGTGTTTTCTCTGCTCTTTCTCCTCTCTCCCCTTTCTCTCCCCCCTTCCCCTCAGCTTCATCCATCTGACGCCCTGGAAACATTGCTCTCAGATCCCATTGTCCTCCCTGTAGACTTGCTAAGTATTTTCTCTGTCCTCTCTCCTTTCTCCCCTTCCTCTCCGCCCTCCTCTCAGGTGCACCCATCTGATGTCCTTGAAGCATCCATCCCAGGCCCCGTTGTCCTCCTTATAGACTGATTGTTGCCCTCTCTGTCCTGCTCCAATATTTTTTCTCCTGGTTTCCGCCTACCCACTCTCCCCTCCCGGCAGGTTCACCCATGTGACGTCCTCGAAGCATCCGTCCCAGGCCCCGTTGTCCTCCTTATAGACTGCCCCACTGCAAGCCACACGCAAGCCCTCCTGCAGTCACCGCAGCTGCAGCGATTCTTCATCAGCAACCGCCAGAAACCCAAGAGTGACAATAACGGGGGTGACAATATCATCAAGGGTGACAATAACGGGAGTGACTATAAGGAGGTGACAGTGGCTGTCCACGTGAGCCCAGAAGCTGTGGTGGAGGAGGAGCAGTATCGGCGATGGATGGGCATGCTGGGGGTTAACACCACACACATGCTAGCTGGTCATGGGAGGTACGCAGCTCAATGTTGGCATGTTAGAGTACGCAGCTCAGTGTTGGCATGTTAGAGTACGCAGCTCAGTGTTGGCATGTTAGAGTACGCAGATCGGTGCTGGCATGTTAGAGTACGCAGCTCAGTGCTGGCATGTTAGGATACGCAGCTCAGTGCTGGCATGTTAGGATACGCAGCTCAGTGTTGGCATGTTAGGATACGCAGCTCAGTGCTCATGGGGCATGGGGCATTGCCAGGTAAGGGGAGGTATGGACAGTGGCTGTCCACGTGAGCCCAGAGGGGGTGGTGGAGGAGGAGCAGTATCGGCGATGGATTGGGGATGCTGCTGGGACCCAGCACCACACACGTGCTGGCAGGGCACGGCAGGTGCGCATATGAGGACAGCACAGACGTGTTGAAAGGTAACATCTGCTCCTGCTGACAGAGATGGATGGGCATGCTGGGACCCAACACCACTCATGTGCTGGCAGGGCACGGCAGGTAGGAATATGAGTACACCTGCTGGTAACCAGGTAACGTGGGGCACATGTTACTGGTAGGGAGAGGAGGAGCAGTATCGGCGAGGGATGGGCATGCTGGGATGGGAACCAACAAGCACGCACGCGCGTGCGTGGAGGTATGGTGTGCTGACAGTTAGGGTGATTGATTGGGTCTCTGCATGCAGGTATGGTGTACGCGTTTGGCTGTTGTTCATGCTCCACATGTGCATGCATGCAGTGCAGTGTAAGACGCCTTCGAGTGCCCGCCCGTGCTAGCTGGGAGTGCAGCCTTGGCAAAACAACTGCACCACGTGTGTCCGCCCCTCACCTCTTTCGTACCACAACACCCCCTTGCGCCCTTTCAGAGCATTTGAGTGCCCGCCTGTGCTAGCGGGGAGTGCAGCCCTGACAACCAAGCTCCACTACGTGTGTCCGCACCTCTTCCCTGAACCATACGACCACACACTGACAAGACGGGCAGCGGAAGCAGCAGGAACATCAACAGCAGCAGCACAGACGTATGAGCTGGAGGTGAGTGGGCTTTGAGACGCGCTTCCGAGGTGAGCGGGCTTTGAGACGCCTGGTGTTGGTCGCACCTTTTTCCTCAACCATATGAGCACACACTGGCTTCGGCTCAACACTGGCTTTGGCTCGACACTGGCTTTGGCTCGACACTGGCTTTGGCTCGACACTGGCTTTGGCTCGACCCGATTGTTATGCCCCTGCGACCTTAACAACACCTGTGCCGCTGGGCCCCTGTTTGGTTCGGTTTGGTTGAAACGCCTCTAAAGTAGAACCCGTGATGGGCTGGGCCCCCGCTCGACCTGATTCTCCTCGCCTCCTCTCATTCACCTCGCCTCCTCTCATTCTCCTCGCCTCCTCTCATTCTCCTCGCCTCCTCTCATTCTCCTCGCCTCCTCTCATTCACCTCGCCTCCTCTCATTCACCTCGCCTCCTCTCATTCACCTCGCCTCCTCTCATTCACCTCGCCTCCTCTCATTCACCTCGCCTCCTCTCATTCACCTCGCCTCCTCTCATTCACCTCGCCTCCTCTCCCCCGCTCACTCACCTCTTGCCACTAAATCCACCTCGCCTTTTCGCCCTCTCCCCACCCGGTGACCTCAACAGCCTGTGGAAGGGCTCCCACTCGGCCCCATTGTCATTGCGCTCCTCTCACCTCCCCGTTCAAAGCCTAATTCACCTCCCCTTGTTCGCCCTTTTCCCTCCTATTCCCCACCCTGTCTTCACCCTCTCCCCTTTACAGCCGGTGGATGGGCTCCCGCTCGGCCCCATTGTCGTTGCCCTTTTGCTCGTTTGAATTCACCCTCTTTCTTTCACCCTCTTTCTTTCATCCTCTTTCTTTCATCCTCTTTCTTTCACCCTCTTTCGCCTCACCGCCCTCAACCCTGCAATCTCCACACCACAGCCGGTGGATGGGCTCCCACTCAGCCCGACCGTCATTTCCCTCCTCTAACCCCCCCCCCCCTCCTCTCACTTCCCCTTTCTAAGCCAGAATCACATTCTTTTGTCTTGTTTCACCCTCATTGTAACCTCCTCTCTCCTCCCACCGTGTCCCCACCCTGTCTCCTCCCTCTCACCTCCTCCACTGCCAGTAGACGGGCTCCCGCTCGGCCCCATTGTCATTGCGCTCCTCACACCTCTCTCAAGCCCCTGAGTCACTTCTCCTTTTTACACCCTCTTTCCTCTCTCCACGCTCTCACCTCCTCCACAGCCGGTGGACGGGCTCCCGCCCGGCCCCATTGTCATTGCTCTTTTGCTCGATTGAATTCACCTCTCTTTTGTTCACCTTCTTTCGCCCCACCGTCGTCACCCCTGCAACCTCTACAGCCTGTAACTGGTCTCCCGCTCGGCCCCATTGTCATTGCCAAGAACCTTCTCAAGGTCCGTTTGCCTTCCATGAAACTTCCTCTTGGTTTCTCCTGCCGGAAAAAAATTAGCTCTTGAGTTTCTCCTGCGATGTTCTTCCATGATCAATTTCTGACAATATTAATTGGGGAGTTGCTTTTGAGAAATCTCATTAGAGAATTTGGTTTCTCAGAAAACACCCCGACACCTGTTCCAACCCTTTTTCCTCCATCCCCCAATTCCCACGCCTCACCCACAGGTCAACCTGCGAGGCGCCCCTGTTTTGGGAGTTGACACGTCAGCAGTGCCGCCCGCTTTCAACGCCAGGAGCACTGTTCACCACTTGCTGCACAGCATTCCGGAGCTTGAGGAAGCTTCCAGGAAGGTGGCTGTGGATTGGGGATTGGGGAGCAAGGCGAAGGAGGGGGAGAAAATGGGAGAGATGGAGGGAGAGAGGATGGGAGAGGTGGAGGGAGAGAGGATGGGAGAGATGGAGGGAGAGAGGATGGGAGAGGTGGAGGGAGAGAGGATGGGAGACGAAGGGGAAGGGGGAGGATGGAGAGGAAGTGGTGAGGGAGGGAGGAGTGGTGCTGTTGCTGCTCCTGCTGCTTCAGGTGCTGCTTCAGGTGCTGCTTCAGGTGCTTCAGGTGCTTCAGGTGCTGCTGCGTGGGGGGGTGCACCAGCGTGCATACGGGGAATGGGCAGGGAGGAGGTGGAGGTGGTGTTTCTCGGCACGGGCTCATCCCAGCCGTCCAAATACCGCAATCTCAGCGGCATCTACATTCACCGGTTCGACCGCGGAGGGATGATTCTGGACTGCGGGGAGGGCAGCTACGCGCAGCTGACCAGACGGTGAGTGAGTGTGTGTATGGGCGAGGTGGATGGAGCTCCTGTGCATGTGGTCTAGGCAAGGCATTTACGTGCACAGATTCGACCGCGGAGGCATGATATTGGATTGCGGCGAGGGAAGCTACGCCCAGCTGACTAGAAGGTCAGTCAGTGTGTCGGATGGATGGGTGGGTGGGTGGGTGGGTGGGTGGGTGGGTGGGTGGGTGGGTGGGTGGGTGGGTGGGTGGGTGGGTGGCTTAACATTCTCCCATCCCCCCGCTGCCTCCTTGATTCTTCTCTTACAGGTTTGGGCCAGAAAAGGCAGAGGAGATTATAGCTGGTCTGAAGTGTATTTGGATCTCTCACATCCATGCTGATCATCACACGGGGCTTGTCAGAATTCTTGCTGCCCGAAGAGACATTCTTTTGCGCCGGACAGCTCAGCGGGCAGCTGAACGGGCACGTCCTGGAACAGATTTTCAGGAAGCGGTTGAGAAGATGAAGAGTGAGGAACTGGACAAGGATACTACAGTGCAAGTGCCGCCCATTTTGGTGGTAGGGCCAAAGCAGCTTCGGCGGTATCTGGAGGCGTATCAGACATTCGAAAGCCTCCACCTGACGTTTTTGGACTGTAGCCAGACGACGAAGGATGCCGCCACTCTTGCTGCTAAAGCAGGAACAGCAGGAGCAGCAGGAGTAGCAGCACATAGTGCTGCTTCTGCAAGGGGCCTGGATGGAGGGATGGAGGAAGGAGATGGGAGGGAGCAGTGTGGTCTTATCTGGCAAAAAGAAAGCCAGTCTAAACAGCAGCAGCAGCAGCAGTCAGGGGTTTACCAACAGAGAACTGAATCAGCCGTTAAAAACCTAGACAACCGGGAGAGCAGAGAGAGGGAGAGGAAGGGCCTGCGCCCCTTCTGGCTCAAAACAGGGTTCCACCTGGAGGACGGGGGTTTGGACGAGCCGGGCAGGCAGCAGCTGGGGGAGGTGTTATCTGCGCTGGGGCTGGCCCGGCTGGAGAGTGTGCCTGTGGTGCATTGCCCCCAGGCGTTTGCTGTGGTGCTGGAGGGTTGGGTGAGAGGGCGAGAGGGGGGGAGTGGGGAGGAAGATTCCTGGAAGCTGGTGTACTCGGGCGACACTCGCCCGTGTGATACTGTCAGGGTGGCGAGCCGAGGAGCTACAGTGCTGATTCATGAGGTGAGTTGCTAACTTATACCAGGGGGAGGTGTTACTTACGATGGGGCTGACCCGGCTGGAGAGTGTGCCTGTGGTGCTGGAGGGAAGGGTGAGGGGGCGAGAGAAGGGGCGGGTGAGGGGGCGAGAGAAGGGGCGGGTGAGAGGGCGAGAGAAGGGGCTGGTGAGAGGGCGAGAGAAGGGGAGTGAGAAGGGGAGTGCAGAGGAAGATCCCTGGAAGCTGGTGTATTCGGGTGACACTCGCCCGTGCAATACTGTGAGGGCGGCGAGTCGAGGGGTAACAGTGCTGATACACGAGGTAAGCTTAGGGGAGGTGTTATCTGGGGGAGGTGTGGGCTCACATCTGCGCTGGGCTGCCCAGCACTGCCCATCGACTTCTCCCCTTCCTATCCCTCCTCCCATCCCTCTCCCTCACACACTCGCAGGCGACATTTGAGGATGATTTGCAGCACGAGGCCATAGCGCGAAGGCACAGCACGACCTGTCAGGCGGTAGGGGTGGGTGCACCCCTCGCCTGCATCATTACCTTCCATCACCTTCTTTTCTTCCCATCCACATCCCCATCCCACATACACTCCCAGGCGACATTTGAGGATGATTTGCAGCACGAGGCAATAGCCCGAAAACACAGCACGACGAGCGAGGCAGTGGAGGTGGGTGCGTCTGCCCCCGCTTATCGCACCATTCTCACCCATTTCAGCCAACGCTACCCTAAAATCCCCCGCCTCGCGCCCCCGGTGAAAAGTAAGAAGCAAGGAGATGGTGGTGCGGGCGGCGGGGATGCGGAGGGCGGCGAAGGTGGGAGTGCGGCAATTGCGTTTGATTTGATGTCAGTGAATTTTTGCGACTTGCCGAGGCTGCCGGAGTTGGTGCCGGTTTTCCAGCTGCTGTTTAGGGATGCGCTGGAAGAGGAGGAAGAGGAGCAAGAGGAGGGAGGTTGAAAGGGGATTTTATTAATATTGAGAGCAGATTCAGTTGTTGATTCAATGCTTTATTTTCACTTTTGTTTTTCTGATGTGTAGCCTTGGTTCGAATTTTTACACGTATGATCTCTTTATTGTTGACCTTCGTGGCATTCTTGCTTGTCTCCTCGAGGGGCACTGCCAAATTACAGTCCGGTCAACTGTTCGGTTCATCCGTGGACAATAATAGAATGCCACGGATGTGTCTCCAAGAACGCCACGACTTCTACAGTTTAATCTCGTTACCTCCACGGTTTGAGGGCAGACTGTTACAGCGAGTCGCTATGTGGTGCGGCTGGTGGGATGGTAGTGCTGGCAACCCTTGAAAGTATATTTGCTGACCGACAGCACATCAACCTTCACGATTTCACTCACTCTGCACACACTAGAATGTAGAGTTGGGAAACTGAAAATCCAGCTGTAAGTAGCACTTATGTCCCGCACTCGTGTTGCGTTTGTGGGACGCGGGGTGGAAGCCCAGCTTTCGTGGCATTCCTCCGTAAAGGGGGCAATATGGAACCAATAATTCCCAAAATGGAAAGACGCACAAAATGCTTAGGAAACAAACTGCTTCCAGAATTAACAGCTTTCTGGAAGCCTTTTTGTCCACCTTGGTTCTTCTTGGTTCTTCTAACTCGTGCGTGAGTAAGAGTTCTGCTCGCCCTCCAGAAGCGTCTCAGCTCTTCTAAACCGCATTCCATCCTTCTCTTTGCTCTCCCATTTTCTGTCCACTTTCGCTTCCACCATTCCCAACATTCCTTCACTCGTGTCTCAAACAGAAAAGGTACAGAACACACTTTCCGAAACTGACGACCAACAACTTCCACTCCATTGCTGCATGGCGTGTCGTGTTCTCACCCACAACATCAATCAGCAGTTTGTTTGATACGTAGCATGCCTGACAGCAATCTCTGAAAATACAGTGGCCACCCTCTTTCGATGCGGTGAGAACTGAATCCCATGCCAATCGCGTCGCATTAGGAGGAATCCTGACTCTAAAGTCGGTCAGAAGCAATTTCCGCATCATTAGGCCGACTCGGAGTCGAATTTTATGTCTGTCCATCAACCAGCCGCTGCTGAGGGAACAATTCCGCTAAGTGAAATCCGCGGCATCATTGAACAGCCCTGATGACGGGAAAGCAACTAGCGTTATAGCAGCTGTATTTAGCTAGTAGACTGACTCGCGATGAGGTAGCTGACAGACGGTTCAGAAGTACAAAGCGTTGGCTTGTTCGTCAATTTCCACCGCAAGCATCCTACTTTTCCGTACTTTCGTACAAACTGATGCAGCGAGACGAGTGCTAAGTCAGCTCTCTTCAACTTCCTTCCAGGCCCAAACCTTCGCCCGAAACTCCCTTGGGATTGACGCGATTGTTTCAGCACGCGTACAGCTGTGCTTACAGCCACGCTGCTCGCAGACAGCCCGCCTCGTATTGCGCTCTTGTCCTACCAAGCATCCTTTTTGGCTGGCACACTAACTCATACGGTCGGGAGCAACGAAGTTGCAAGCACCTTTCGGCTAATCGTACGGCAGCGTGACGGGCCCACCCACCACAATCGCCAACAAACACCGCCGAATCTGTTCTCTCCTCCTTTCGACCCATCAACAACCACCCACTACGCCTCACGCCGGCGCAGTCGAACCACCAACAAGAGCGGGAACGTAAGGATCCAGTCTCCTGACGGGATTGCTGAGATTCGCAACTTTTCTGCGACGCTTCCGGTGCCGTGTGCTGACGACAGCCACGTGGGTGTCCGGCCAGGGGCTATCTGTTCCGCCGTGGTCGCTGCACATTTCTCAAAGGAGCAGAACGCGAGATTTTTACGCTAGATCTTCCGTCCAACGCGTGGTACGTACTCTTCCAAGCGGGCAGTGCGGGAATCACAACTAGCGACTCTGGGCCATCACTGAGAATCTCCCGACTTGGTCCATTTTCAGTGCTTCTCGCAGCACCGTGCTCACAAGGCAGAAACTGTGAGCCCAAACGTTACTCTGGAGGATCATCTATGCCGCTGTGTGCGTGTAATGTATCACCGGGTACTGCCTTCAAGGCTGTCAGGCTTTCGGTTTGGCGGCTCCCACCTTCTGGGATCGGAAGATGCTGACACTTCACCTGCAATGAGGTCGTTGGGTTGAGCGAAGGCCGAGACAGTATGATGCATACTACTTGAGGTGTGCAAAACTCACCATGTGCTGCGCGAGGCTTCAGCGCCATGACAAGGAGAAGCAGTCGCATAGTTTACCTTAGCAACGGTACAAGTGCTGCGCAATCGATGATCAGCTGACGATAAGATAGGCATCGTCCTGTTGTTGAAGACCTAGAAAGACTAGGAAAAACCCTTCAAGCCGCGCCAATCGCCTCTGTCCCTAGGACCGTACACTCAAAGTGTAGAAAGGAGCGACCGTAAACAGCAAACCTCCGACACAACGACACTCCTAATCAGTGGCGGCGGTCCGAGGCGGCGCGGCTGAGCAGCAGCGGCGCTCCTAAGCAGCAGCGGCGCGCAGCGGGCTCGAAAATTATTAGTGGTACGACTACGCAAACCAGTGCAAGATTTGCAGCGTAGAATGCGTCAGTTTCGCTCTCCACCCGTCAGTTTCTGCGGCGAAGTCTAACAGAACATTTCACGACTCGGGGCGCTAGTAGAAGCAGAGCCTTAGACGGACTTGATAAGGGCTGCGTCGTGAGCGTCGCGCAGCACTAACTTAGTATAAGACTACCACGGCAGACAGCGCGTCAACCGATTTAGCTCCTCTGGTAGAGAAATGAGCCGCCTCCCTCCGACCGCCAGTGGGAGTCCGAGCCTGAGCCAGGGATCGAGTCCGAACCAGGGTCCGAGCCTAGCTTCAAGCCTAGATCAGAGTTCGAGCCTAGACCAGAGTCCAAGCCTGAACGAGAATTCGAGCCTGAAGCAGAGTCCGAGCAAGAGTAACAAAAATCAGACTCGAAACCAGAATCGAGGTCAGGGTGAGAATCGAAGTCGCAATCGCAGCAACGACAGTCTTCTAGCGACCATTCTGCTGCAGCGACATGCAAACCGCATGCGACTCGACGCCTCCGCCGCCGCCGCCGCCGCTGCCGAGCGAGACAGCCTCAGCAGCCGCGGCGGCGGAAGGGATCTCGCCGCGCCTTCCACGATACGCAGCGACGAAGCGGATCACACCGCGGCGCTTGGTCTTAGAACCACCCTAACGGCTTCATCGCCAACTATCCAGACGGGAGCCGCAGGGTTCGAGTCAAATCAGGTGACGAGGCAGTCAGCGCCCCGGCGACCCCAAGGTCCACCCGCGGAGAGATTTCAGGCACCGCAACAGCGACCAACGGGACAGGAATTTCAGGCAGCGGCGCAACAGCAGCAGTTACTAGGACTAGTACTAACTGGACAAGCGCAGCCGCGGCGACACGAACAGCTCCAGTTGCACGAACGAGAGAATTCGGAGCAGAAGCAGCAGCTACAGCAGCGTGAAACGAGAAATGAGGGGGTTTTTAGGAGAGAAGTTGCTTCCACGAGGCAGAATGCGGAGGCTTTTGAAACCCTAGCCAGCTGTGGAAGGTTTGCGGAGGAATCACAGCAACGCGTTCCCGTCTCAAGGTACGGTCCGTTATACGCTTTTAAAAATGTATCAGATAGGATTGCAAATGCTCCATCTCGAGGTATGGTAAATACGAAGTGGCTGTTGTTTTGGAATCATAGAGGGGCATGTGCATGATAAAAAATCGGATTATTATTGACTCGTGTTAATCTACTTCATATTCCAAAAACATTTTCTTACTTGCTTTCGTCCCTTTCAGACATGGCAATACGATGTTAATGGGTCATATAGCAAGTGTGACGCCTGCCCAATTACGGACGAATGACCACCAACACATAAGTGCATCTATTGTTTCTCCGACAGGTGATTTTTTCCTTTTTTTTGCAACTCCACAATACCTAGTGGTCTTATGTTTTACGTTTTTTTCCGCCTGTTAAGTTACAAGTTGTTTTATGTCTGTTTACCTGTTTATCAGGAAATCTTTATGTTCCCTCGCGTAGCAGTTTTAGTTTTGGCAATGTTAGACTTCATCAACTCCTCTTGATCGTCTCTTCCCTCTCCTACCCTCCTCTGACACAGGGCATTCAGCCGCTGCATCTCTCCAGCATCAGTACAGCCAGGCAAGGCCCGTCTTAGACTCACGCACAGCCAGGATACAATCACAACCTCGTGGCATTCTGCCAACTTTACTACAGTCACATCCCCCTTCAAACTCACCCTTCAGTGCGACAGCCAATCAGCTTCCACCTTTGACCAGTTTTCCAACAGCCAGAACTCCGATTGGTACAGTTCCATTTCCCTCTGGACAATCTGTACTGACCCCACCACTCGCTCAGTCGGTGCATGTTACAGGGCAGTTGTTACAATGTAGCTTGTTACAGAGTGGGTTATTACAAGCTGGGTCATCATTATTACAAGGTGGTTCATTATTACAAGGTGGCTCATTATTACAAGGTGATTCATTACGAGATGGATTGTCACAAAGTGGGTCGTTACAAGGTGGTTTGTCACAAGGTAGGTTGTTACCGAGTGAATTGTTACAGGGTGGGCTGTTACAGGGTGGGTTAGAAGAGTTGTTACGAGGCAGAGCGTTCCCAAGGGGCCTGTTACCAGGTCAACAGTTGCGAGCAGGAGGGTTGGCAGCAGGAGGGTTGGCAGCAGGAGTTTTACAAGCAGGAACATCACCAGAACGAGGGTTACCAGCAGGAGGGCTGGCAGCAGGAGGGTTACCAGCAGGAGGGTTGCCAGCAGAACTGTTACCAGAAGCAGGGTTACCAGTGGGAGGGCTTTCAACAGGAGGGTTACCATTACCGGCAAGAGGATTACCATCAGGAGGGTTATCAGCAAGAAAGTTACCAGCAGGAGGGTTACAAACAGGAGGGTTACCAGCAGGGGGGTCACGAGCAGGAGGGTTACCAGCGGGAGAGTTACCAGCAGGAGGAGCAGTAACAGGAGGGTTACCAGCAGCAGAGCTTTCAGGGAGAGGGTTACCTGCAGGAGGGTTACCAGCAGGAGGGTTACCGGCAGGAGGATTATCAGCGAGAGGGTTACCAACAGGAGGGTTATCTGAAGGAAGGTTAACAGCAGGGGGTTTACCAGCAGGAGTGATACCTGTGGGAGGGCTACCAGGGGGGTGGTTACCAATTGGAGGGTTACCAGGAAGAGGAGGTGGAGGAGGAGGAGGAGGAGGAGGAGGAGGAGGAGGAGGAGGAGGAGGAGGAGGAGGAGGAGGAGGAGGAGGAGGAGGAGAAGGAGGAGGAGGAGGAGGAGGAGGAGGAGGAGGAGGAGGAGGTGGAGGAGGAGGAGGAGGAGGAGGAAGAGGAGGAGGAGGGGGAGGAGGACGGGGGAAAGGAGCAACACTTTCGCAGAAAAGCAGGATTTTCTTGCAAGAAACGAGATCCATACAAGCAATGGGACCTGTGCAAGAAAAGGGATCGACTCAAGAAAGGGAATCTGAGAAAAGGGGGTCAGTGTGCTACCCGGTTGCTCCTGGCTGGTCCTTAGGAAGTGAAGTGATCCCTTCAGATGAAAGTCGGAGAAATGCTACGATTGGAGAGGCAGGAAATGGAGGGGCAGCAAGGTTTGCGGCGGGCCTACGCGGCAGACTGGAAGAGGCAGGGAATCTGGGCAAGAAGATAAACAAAACGCAGGTAATCCCGAGGCCATCAAGGACGTCAGCGTCGGGATCTAACGGCCAAGATCGACCCATGAATCTTACCTTATCCGCCACACGACCGCCGCTCTCCCTGCAACCGATTCTCCCACTCCGGCCAGCTCTGTCCCCTCGGCTAATTTTACCTGCACCGTCGATCCTACCAGCAGACCCGATGATTTCCCCTGGGAGTTCTGAGCAGGTTATGAGAGGTTTTAGCTGCCCCAAGGATAGGAAGCAGTCATATCCTCGTTATAGGCGCCTCACGCCTTCCATCGGGTCTAATACCAGCGTCAGCAGCGGCAGTCACTTGGCTGTGGGGCCAGGGCAGCCAATCAGCGCTAGCCACGTGGCTGGTGCGGCAGGGGAGCCAATTAGCGCCAGTCACGTGGCAGTGGCAGGAGCAGTGGCTGTGCTAGGGCAGGTGCATGCGGCTTTGGGGGAGGAAGGTGGGGAGAAAGCAGGGGGAGAAGGGGGGTTGGTGGTGGAAGGAGGAGAGGAAGAGGGGGTGGTGGTGGGCGGGGGGAAAGCAGGAGGGGCGCAAGGGGGGTTGGTGGGGGAAGGGGGGAAGGAAGGAGCGGTGGGAGGGGGGTTGGTGGCGGAAATGGGAGAGGAAGGAGGGGAGGAAAAGGGGTTGGTGGAACGAGGGGGTGATGAAGGTGGGGTGGTGGTGCGAGGGGGGAATGAAAGTGCCTCTGAGGTGGGCAGAGGTGCCATCGAGGTGGGCAGAAGTAGCATTGAGGTGGGCAGAAGTAGCATTGAGGCGGGCAAAGGTGCATCTTCTGACTGTCGACGAAACCGGAGGTGAGAGCTTTCGCTTCTCGTATTTCTATCCACTATCCTCTCTCCTCTGTCTATTTCCTCTCGCCTCTCTCCTCTGTATATTTCCTCTCGCCTCTCTCTTCTATCTATTTCCTCTCGCCTCTCTCCTCTGTCTATTTCCTCTCGCCTCTCTCCTCTGTCTATTTCCTCTCGCCTCTCTCCTCTGTCTATTTCCTCTCGCCTCTCTCCTCTGTCTATTTCCTCTCGCCTCTCTCCTCTGTCTATGTCCTCTCGCCTCTCTCCTCTGTCTATTTCCTCTCGCCTCTCTCCTCTGTCTATTTCCTCTCGCCTCTCTCCTCTGTCTATTTCCTCTCGCCTCTCTCCTCTGTCTATTTCCTCTTGCCTCTCTCCTCTGTCTATTTCCTCTCGCCTCTCTCCTCTGTCTATTTCCTCTCGCCTCTCTTCTCTGTCCTCTTTCCTGCCCATTCATGTGCGTGTGGTTCTGTGTGGTTGGCGATATGCTGAACAGGTTGCTGAGTGTGATAAGTCGAGTTTTGAGTCGACTCAAAACTCGAGATGTCGAACAGGTTTCTTCAAACAGGGTTAATGCGCAGAAAGCAAGGGAGGGGAAGGAAGCGACTGAATGCTTTTGAATGAACCTGTAATATTGGTCAATTGCTCATGTGTGCTTGTTTTTGTGGGGTTGTTTTACTCATATTGGCGAGTAGGTTACTCAGGAACAGGGTGAATGCAGCTGAGTATGTGTTTGTTTATGAGTCTGCTATCCTGATCTTCATGCGTGTGTTTCTTCTAATTGGTGATTCTTGACGAGCAGGTTACTGAGGAACAGGGTGAATGCAGCTGAGTATGTGTTTGTTTATGAGTCTGCTATCCTGATCTTCATGCGTGTGTTTCTTCTAATTGGTGATTCTTGACGAGCAGGTTACTGAGGAACAGGGTGAATGCGCAGCAAGCAAGGGAGCGAAAACGACGACGCATGGAGGTATGTGAGTGGTGAATTAGGCACGCACAATGGTGATATGTGCCTGATTATGGCGACAGAAGCATGCATGCATTCATGTCCTGGCATGAGCTTCGTGCGTGTGTCACTAAGTTGGTCTCACTTTTGACAAAAGTAACATGAGATGAGAGAATTCTCAGAAAAAACACCGACATGACTTTTGAGGTGCCTCAAACGTTGGTCTCACATCTCACAGAAGTAACATGAGAGAATTCTCAGAAGTAACATGAGAGAATTCTCAGAAGTAACATGAGAGAATTCTCAGAAGTAACATGAGAGAATTCTCAGAAGTAACGCAAACATGTCGTGGCATTGGTTTCGTACTTGTGTCACTATGACAGGCTCTATCTGAAATTCACTCCAATTCGGGCACTTTATTCATGCCTCAATCATCCATATTTCCTTCTATCTTTCCTCATTCTCTTCCTGTAATATCCCATGCCATGCGATGCCATGCCATGCCATGCGATTCCATGCCATGCGATGCCATGCCACGTCACTTCTTCAATCCCGTGATCATCAGTGCCTAAAGGAGGAGTGTGAGGCGAAGCAGAGGGAGAACGAGCAGCTGGAAGGAAGGATAGCGGCAGTACAGCAGGTGAGTGAGGGGAAACAACACAACAGCACATCATGCTACATGAACACCAGGGTCTGAAGGAGGAGTGTGAGGCGAAGGAGAGGGAGAAGGAGCAGCTGGAAGGAAGGATTGCTGCAGTGCAGCAGGTGAGGAAGTAGATGCCCTGCCATGGTTATCATGCTACGCACTATCATCAGAGCTTAGAGGAGCAATGTGAGGCGAAGGAGAGGGGAGAAGGAGCAGCTGGAATCGAGGATAGCAGCAGTACAGCAGGTGAGTGATTGGGAACACGGTCCGATCATGCCATACAGTGCTTCTTATTCACATGATGATCATGGCCTGGAGGAGGAATGTGAAGCAAAGGTGAGGGTCAACGCTGCAGGTGAGGGTCAACGCTGCAGGTGAGGGTCAACGCTGCAGGTGAGGGTCAACGCTGCAGGTGAGGGTCAACGCTGCAGGTGAGGGTCAACGCTGCAGGTGAGAGTCAACGCTGCAGGTGAGAGTCAACGCTGCAGGTGAGAGTCAACGCTGCAGGTGAGGGTCAACGCTGCATGTGAGGGTCAACGCTGCAGCTGAGGGTCAACGCTGCAGCTGAGAGTCAACGCTGCAGGTGAGAGTCAACGCTGCAGGTGGGGGTCAACGCTGCAGGTGAGGGTCAACGCTGCATGTGAGGGTCAACACTGCATGTGAGGGTCAACGCTGCAGGTGAGGGTCAACGCTGCAGGTGAGGGTCAACGCTGCATGTGAGGGTCAACGCTGCAGGTGAGGGTCAACGCTGCAATGTGTCCAAAACGGGACAAGGAGACAGGTGTGGGTCAATGGATTGGTGTATGCATGTGCATATCTACCCACATTTGCCTGTTGACTTTTGAGTCAACTGAAATGTCACCTCGTAAGCATATCTACCCACATTTGCCTGTTCGTAATTATGTTTTCTCATATCTGCATACTGTATGCATGATTTATATCTCATATTGTGTATATCTATGTTCCCTTGTGTGTGCATATTTTCATAAACGCATGCATGTGGGTTTACAACAGATCACATGTTTGCATAGATGCATGTGTTTTGAAAGGATATAGGAGTTTTTGTGTTTTATGTGCGCACGTGTGCATATGCCTTAAAGAAATGAATGTGTATGCATGTGTACATATGTTCAAAAACTGCATGTGGGCATATGTACATCAAATGCTCGAGTGCGGTATTTGCTCTTCTACTTGTGCGGTATGTTAGCTCTCAATGAGAGGTTTTTGTTCTTTTGGTGACTTCTGAGCATGTGCATCCTGTTGACTTTTGAGTCGTTACAATGAGAGGTTTTTGTTCTTTGAAACGCATGTTTGCATGTTTCTCTGCTCATCAGGAGAACGATCAGCTAAGTGATGCAGTTATTGCTCTTCTGGAGGCAACCAGTGGCCTCGATACAAGCAAATTCAATACGAGCATGCTCAATACAAGCACCATCAACATAGACACTTCTACTGTAAGTACTCTTAGAACGAACTGATATTAATGCCAATCCTTGTTCTATGCATTGGTGTTACCAACACACCATGACACATGCACTCACTGCACACAGGCACACAGCTTACACCTGAACAGACATTATCGACTCAAAATTCAGCACTAACAGTCTCAACATCTATACTCGCTCATTCATTTTCTCCAACTCATCTCATTCACCCCAACTCATCTCATTCACCCCAACTCATCTCATTCACCCCAACTCATCTCATTCACCCCAACTCATCTCATTCACCCCAACTCATCCCATTCACCCCAACTCATCCCATTCACCCCAACTCATCCCATTCACCCCAACTCATCCCATTCACCCCAACTCATCTCATTCACCCCAACTCATCTCATTCACCCCAACTCATCTCATTCACCCCAACTCATCCCATTCACCCCAACTCATCCCATTCACCCCAACTCATCCCATTCACCCCAACTCATCTCATTCACCCCAACTCATCCCATTCACCACAACTCATCCCATTCACCCCAACTCATCCCATTCACCCCAACTCATCCCATTCACCCCAACTCATCTCATTCACCCCAACTCATCTCATTCACCCCAACTCATCCCATTCACCCCAACTCATCCCATTCACCCCAACTCATCCCATTCACCCCAACTCATCTCATTCACCCCAACTCATCTCATTCACCCCAACTCATCTCATTCACCCCAACTCATCTCATTCATCCCAACTCATCTCATTCACCCAACTCATCTCATTCACCCCAACTCATCTCATTCACCCCAACTCATCTCATTCACCCCAACTCATCCCATTCACCCCAACTCATCCCATTCACCCCAACTCATCTCGTTCACCCCAACTCATCTCATTCACCCCAACTCATCTCATTCACCCCAACTCATCCCATTCACCCCAACTCATCCCATTCACCCCAACTCATCCCATTCACCCCAACTCATCTCATTCACCCCAACTCATCTCATTCACCCCAACTCATCTCATTCACCCCAACTCATCCCATTCACCCCAACTCATCCCATTCACCCCAACTCATCCCATTCACCCCAACTCATCTCATTCACCCCAACTCATCTCATTCACCCCAACTCATCTCATTCACCCCAACTCATCTCATTCATCCCAACTCATCTGTGTTCTTTCCGGGGTCAACTACCTTGTCAATCACTCATGACATCTCACATTCTTACATTCTCCTAGTCCAATCCCCTCTCCCCTCACAATCACTCCTCTTCCGCAGCAGCAGCAGCAGCAGCAGCAGCAGCAGCAGCAGCAGCAGCAGCAGCAGCAGCAGCAGCAGCAGCAGCAGCAGCAGCAGCAGCAGCAGCAGCAGCAGCAGCAGCAGAATCCCGAGTCATGAGCGCCGATCAACACTTCTATCTGCTGCACACAAGCGATTTTCCTCCTCCCCCGGTTCCTCCCGTGCTCCTGCCATGCGCTTAGTCCCTTCATCACGCCCTTGGTCAATGGTAGGTAGCTAGGTGACTTTTGAGTCGACTCAAAAGTCGTCTCTTCATCACGCCCTTGGTCAATGGTAGGTAGCTAGGTGACTTTTGAGTCGACTCAAAAGTCGCCCCTTCATCACGCCCTTGGTCAATGGTAGGTAGCTCTTCTCTCCCTCTCCATCCCCTTCCCGTACATCCTCACATGCTCTCTCGTTTCACTAACTTCCCTATCATAACCCCCGTGCTTCTGCCATCGGCTCAGTCCCTTTCATCACGCCCTTTATCAATGCCAAGTGACTATTCTCTCCCTCTCTTGCCTCCTCTTGCACTCTCTTCTCCCCACTTTCTGATGTGCCCTATTCCCTCACTCCCCCCCCCTTTCCCTACTGTTCATTCCACTCATGCCCTCCCCCACACCTTCCCATCTCGCCTCTCACTGCGTGACATTAGGCAGGTTGTGACATGTGTCAACGCTTGCTCTCCTCTCTGCACTTCTCGCCCTTGTTCCCCCCCTAGCAAACCATTTGCGTATCTTGCTCTCTTCCTTCTTCCCTCTCATGTTTCCAGTTGTTTTTTCTGTGCTACTTGATCATCCTCTTGATTTGTGCTCCTGTCCCATCTCCCTCACTATCTCGTACAAATTTTGTCATACTGTTCTCCAGTTAATCCCCTTTTCTCACTAAACTACACTGCATTCTTGTTTGTACCACCAGGAGCAGGCGTAAGCACAGAGTTCCAATCATTGCTAGAGAGATTGCCTGCTCAATCCAAACATTTGTTAAGGATGTTATTATATTGGTCATGTAGATTACTGATGGGGGGAAGAAAGGGGGAAGAGGGGGGAGAGGGGGGGGGGTCAACTATCCATTCGGTTCTGTGTAGAAGTCTGGCAGAGGGCCAGGAATTTATGGTACTCTAGCTCTGTTGGGCTGAGAAAAAGCCCTTAGGATTTTTGCAAGGCTAAACTCTGGGT